AACCAAAACGATATCTGGCTTTGTAACTTGTCCGAGCCTCATTCTAAATTAGGGTATGAAACTAACAGAAAAGAAGTCACGCCAGCGTGCAATTCCCAGAAGATTAGAAGAGAAGGGTTTTGCAGCAGTTTATATACAGTTCAAATTATATCAAAGCGGTTAAAAGTGATATTTTGCACATTAGTCCCAAGCATGTAATAAAAATCAGATAATAAATACAAGCCAATTATAACAATTATTCTAAGCTCGAATTCTTGAACCCAGAACCAGAAGTTCTGGGTTCTTGTCCCCAGCAAAGTCGCCAGAGCTGTCACACCTCCTTTTTCTACCCCGGAAGGGGCATAAGGGAGTTTTTCTAATTAAAGTGACAATAATCGAAACAAGATTATTTATTTCAAATTCAGAGTCGTCACTTGGGATGATTTATAGTGTCCCAAGTCACCAGTTTAAAATTCCGAATCGAGGAAGTTCAACTCTTAATTGTGGTCTGCGAACACAGAAATTCGGGTTAGGAATTCTGTTAACTCGGGAAAAGGTGTTAGACATTCCCGAGTTTCGTGGTTTTAGCACGGTCGCTTAACTATTGTTATTGGCCTAATTATTTGATTAATTACATATTTTATACCTACTGTGCATTTTTAACCTTTGACTGCTTTTAATTATTTACGGAATTATTCTGGAACAAATTACGATTGTCGTACACTTGTTTGTTTGGTTCACATTGCGAATTGTGTCACGGGAACCATACCCATGATTTACAACATGTTTAAATTATTAGCATTATTAGAAGTTGTGGCCGGATCACATAAAATGTGCGCCCAAATCTAGAAATTATGTACCACGATCACGCCACAGGAACCGTACCCATAGCCGTGATGATTTATTATTCGCGCCTAAAGCAACTAATGCATTTGAATTATTTTCCTAATCTTTTAAGATTGTTGTGATGCCAAATTTATGAACAAGATATTATTGGGGAGCAAATAGGCTAGCTAACATGATCTATTATTTGGCCGGATTCCCTATGGTCCAAGACCCACCTTATGACCCATTCTTATTCCTTGCCAAGAAAGAAACAACTCCAATTTTTTCATCTACCAAATTAAAAGCATTTATTCAAGAACCAAGACTACATCATAATTGAAATAAAAACTAATTAAAACAATTTAAATGAAAACTAAGACATGCTACTCAAACAACATAGAATCACAAATCAACCAACACGCGCACCAAGCTATCATAACACAATGAAATGAGAATGCAAATTGAGAAATGGACCTTTTATTGATGAACAAAGCTGAAAATTACAAATCAATCGGGCTAAACAAAGCAACAATCCTTGGACTAAAATACCAAAATTACAAACCGGAACCTCGAATAAGACTTTGCTCTACCGCGTCCAAGCCACGACAAAGAGGACAACTAAGTCGAGAATATTCAAGCTCTTGGGCAATTTTCCCATGACCAACATCAACGGTACAGCCGGATATGCGTCCAACAGCATAAAGAGACAATATTGCCTGCTCAGAGGCATAAAACCCCGAGATGTTAAATGTTTCAAACATCAATTGCATCAATTGTTCCCTCCATCTTGGTGGGTGCAGGCAACGAGACAAATTCCCTTTGAGTCTTTGAATGAGGGCCAGAAAATGTTTGGACTCGTGATTTTTCGTTTTTCATTTTTTTTGAATTGGAAAAGGAAAGGGATGAGGTGCTAAGACTTAAAGGAATTATCAGGGAATGGCCGATTTTTGTGAAATCTCTGAAGGGGGTGGCTGTTCCTTTCTCTTGATTGTGAGTGAAATATTAAATTTTCACATTCACACCCTTGAGCTAGTTACAACAGTTTGGGTAATGAATACTTAACACTACTTTTTCCTATTTCTCAAGTTCAATTACTACGATAGGCACAATTCCAACCTCCCCTTCGGTGGATTGGTGCTTCATGTCAACACCAGAAAAGAGCCTTCCAAGAAAAACAAGAACTGAAACAGATGTAGGGAAATTATCCTTTCCAATGATGAATTTCAAAGATCTGGTGGACCCGATGAAGAAAGCAGAATTCTCAAAATGCGCCAAAGTAATCAAGTATATTGCAGAAGCTTGGAGATTAGAGGTCTGCCGTTATAGGGAATTATGAATTAGGAGATTAAAAATTAGCTCCTTTTTCCATCAAGGGAGATGACTGCTCTCTTTTGAGTGTGAAATTTTTGTCTTCGCCAGGTCTAGGTCTCTTAAGGTTGCTTTTAAGTCTATATCTAGGGTTTTAGAGGTATTGAGCTTGGGTTATTATGGGCTAGATTCGAATTGGGCCAAACTCTAGCCAAATTTACCTTTAAAAATGGCCCTTTAATTCTACCAACTAAAAAATATTAATTCCTAAAATAATAACTATAAAACTGTGAAATCATTAAAATAAATTACTAGATAAAACTAAATACTAAAAGTGAAACTAATTTTTGTATTTTCAAATTTTATAATACTATGAATATAAATATACTAATTAACTTTAAACTAAAGATGAAAAATATTTTTTTTGTAATTTTTGTTTTTGTGATAGAATAAAGTAAAAGAGTCAAAACTATTTAAAATAGCGCTATTAACCCTAAACTAAATATTTAAATACTAAAATATGTAAAATCTTGGGGAGGGTCAAAAATTACATGTCTGTAAAAGGGATCCTAATCTATGGTTTGAGTATCATGGGACTAACGGCCACTGGACTGGGGACTATCGACATCTACGCGAGAAGGTGGCGATGTTGCTAAAAAATGACCATCTCAGAGAATTCTTAAGCGACTGAGCTAAAATTAGCTATAACTGCAACCGAAATAATGCAAAACCCTCGAAGACAGGAGAAGATCCTCCTCAACTAACGATCAATATGATTTGGGGGGGGGGGGGAGGGACGATATTAATGGGGTAACCTTTCCAGCAGCAAAAAAAATAAAGGTATCGGTGACTCATAGCAAAAGACTCATGGAAGTCGCTGAGGATGATATCACCTTCATAGAGGAGGACGCAAATGGACTCCTACTATTGCACAACGATGCCCTAGTAATTTCTCTTAATGTTTTAGATTTTAAAATTAAATGTGTTTTGGTGGACCTAGGAAGTTCAACCAATATCATTCAATGGAGAGTGTCATGCCAAGCTAACCAAAAGCATCATTCCGGCCACAAAGCTCCTTCCGAGTTCAACTTAGCAAGTGTGACAACCAGAGGGGAGATCCTGCTACTCACAAATGCTGAAGGGATCATGAATACTACCTTGTTTGAAGTAGACGATGATGACATGAGCTACAACATTATTCTTGGCAGACCATGACTACACGAGATGAAGGTTGTGCCATCAACATACCATCAACTCCTGAAATTCACAACCCTGGAAGGAATTAAATAGATAAGAGGAGATCAATCGACAGCAACAGAGATGAACACCATCTTGATTTCCAGCAGAAAAGGGAAGGAACATGTGACATAACAATTACAGGAACTGACACCCGATTGCCGAGGTCAAATAGGTTTGTCAAAGAAGAGGTAACTCGATTGCTTGATATTGGTTCAACCTGGAGGTATAACATCCCGATTGGCTAGTTAACACAGTAGTAGTTCCAAAAAAGAATAACAAATTTCGCATATGTGTAGATTATAAGGATCTGAATAAGGCGTGCCTAAAAGACTCGTTCCCACTGCCAAACATTGATTAAATAATTGATGTGATGGCTGGGCATGAGTTGATGAGTTTCTTGGATGCCTATTCCGGGTACAACCAAATCAAAATGAACCCAGAGGATCAGGAAAAAACTTCGTTCATAATGAACTTTGGCACATATCGCTACAATGTGATACCTTTCGGGGCTTAAGAATGCTGGAGCCACTTACTAGAGTCTCGTGAACAAAATGTTCGAAGAGAAAATAGGAAAAACAATGGAAGTATACATAGATGATATGTTGGTTAAGTCTTTGAACGTATGTGACCATTTGAAACACTTTCTAGAAACCTTTGACATCCTAAGGAAGCACAATATGAAGCTTAACCCTGAAAAGTGTGCATTCAGAGTCAGCTCCGGTAAAGTTTTGGGGTTTCTAGTGTCACAAAGGGGGA